TCAGGACCAGGATCAGATCATAACTCTCATTGCTTATTTTTTGTTATTTTTGTTTTTATCTTTGCTTACCTTTTTTTGTCTTTTTATGCCTCCTTTGTCTACTTTTTGACTAACCCTATCTGGTATTAAAATCTATGGCTCCTTCAGAGTCCTATGACTTTAAGTGCCTCCATCCTTCTTAAGACAGGGCTTTAAATTTTATCCTCACCTTCCTTTTTTTTGAGCCAAATATTTAGTTTGGACAGGAGCTCCTATTGTTATGGAGCAGAGCTTTGACAAAGTGTGCCCATCGCAGAGGCAGAGCCTCTGCACTTTAGGTCAGGGTGAAAGTGGAAGGAAATATGAGGCATAAAACAATCTGAAATGAAAATATTATGTTTGAAAAATGATGCTTCTCCTCTGATATTACTAAAATTAATGAACGGCAGATAAAAATCTCAGTTTAAAGGTTGTCTTACTGGAACTTCTGACCAATCAATCTAGATAAGCTTTTTTATCTGGATCCTCTTATTTTAACCTCTTGCTCTGTGAGTTAAGAAGTGACCCTGCCTGAGAACTATGCTGCTTTGTCTGTGGTTTTTACTGTGGAGGACGGTCCTGTTAAATGACAGACTGGGCTGTAAGTTGGATTTAACAGGAAACAGGAGTTTAATGATGTTTGGAGAGGAACTATTTAAACGGCTCCAATTAAGAAGATCAGAGGATGATTTTTCCAAGTTGTGAGCAAAGAAAAGTTAAATTCTTTATAAGACGGTCAACAAATTGTTTCCCCTTTCTGTAAATATAATTTAAATTGTATTTAGAAAATTGAATAAAGAATTATGACGAAGATAAAAGGAATGGCAGAGTGACCACAGAGGTCAGCCAAAGGAGGAGCAGAGGGCACCGTAATGACTTTTTAAAGAGCCTCTGTTTGAGGCCGTAAACACCATTCGCTCCCCTTCTTTCCCATCGGTGTGTAACCCATTTGCTCTGCTGTGCCTGTTTACACGCTACACCTGGGTGAGCCTGGGAGTGTGCAGGGTTTCATGTGAAGGGTGATGAATGGGAGGGCAGAGGGGATTTCTGAATTAACTTTACTTGATCCATGACTCCCCCTTGACTGGCGAGCTCTGGGACGACTTAAGACGTGGAACAAGGATGAAAATAGCTACCATGTTTTCTTTTTTAACAGGAACAGTAAAAATGATTGATGTGCTACAGAAAACCCACCTGTCTTGCAGGCAAAATGCCCATCTGGATTCTAAGTTAACAAAATCTACATGTAGTAACTTCTTATTTCAATGAAAAGCTATAATTAAAGAGCTAGAAAGATGTGTGAAAGGGTACCTGGCTTCCTTTGGGACCTGGAAAGCCCTTAAAATGAGGAAAAATAAGAACTTTACAATCAAATCTACCGTAATCCCTTAAAGCACATTGTAAAAGTTTGTCTATTAAATTACTCACTGGTTTGCCATCCAAGCCAAGTGGACCCTGTTGGAGAACAATAAAAGAGAGCGGTTAAAAAATGCAGAATAAAACACTACAGGAACAGCTACAAGGTTTAAGAACATCACTGTTATTTTTTTCTTTTGTTTCAGATTTAAATCGATTAAACTTTTGTTGAAAGATTTTTGAAAATGGCTTGTTTGGTAAAACCTGAGGCTGTTCTTTTAGTTAGAAATACATTGCCGCACAAATGTAATGGAAATTAAAAGCTCAGGTTAGATGTGTGAGACCAATAAAAACACTTCAAATATCACTTTTTTCCACAAGTTTTGTTGTTTGATGTTATAAAATATTAATGTATACATCATATTCACATGAGCTTTTAAACCATAGTTACATATTTTATGAAAAGAAGGTCAAGCTGTCTTACATATATAAATCAAGATAAAGAAATAAAGCTCATTCTAGATATGTCTAATATTTTCTTGATAGGATAATTCAGATAATTTTTTAACTTTTTCTACTTTAATTCCAGAATAAGGAGATTTTTCCTACTAAATAGTAAGGCCATTTAAACAACTTCTAAATTTAATAAACTAATTTGATGAATTTAAAGAATTATAAGTAAGTAACGTTTGCTGAGAAAATTATATTAAGTATCGCATTTTTGCAGTGCATCAACCATAGAAAATATCTGTCAGTATGCTGGTGGAGATTCTCCGTTATCCACGTCATAGCCATTCCAAAAAGTTAAAGTTAAAAAAGAAACCACCGGACCTCGTTTTCCAAGTTTGAAGACATTTCGCTTCCCATCCAGGAATCCCAGTACAGATAAAGAAGACAGGTGGTTTGAAAGGGGTGTGAAAGAAGCCATTTATGTGAAAAGAGGAAAAAACAACCTTAAACAGAGGGGGTGGACTCAGGTTTAAGCTCTCAAAAACCTACAATGCAGCAATACAGTTGATTCCTTTCCAACACCATCTCAACCCCAAAATCTCGCCAGGTCAGCCAGGCCAACAATGACCCTTAACAACTGCCATTTCAGAAGAATGGGCCAGTATTGGGTATTGCAGGCCAATAACAACCTAAACGATTCCCATTATTAAGGGTGGAGCTGGTTTTCCAGCTTCAATGTGCATGTTTTCTAAGCCATTATGAGGCTTTTGTTGGGCTACTCTATAAATGTCTGGAACTCAATGCTAATCCAGACATTTTTAATTGAGAAAGCTTCCTGGATGGGAAGCAAAACGTCTTCAATCTTGGAAAACAAAGTCGTGTTTTGTTTTTTAACTTTCACTTTTTGGAATATGTTGGTTTTGTTTTAAAGAAATTTTTGTTATTAGGCTGAACTCCTGTGGAACCAACTAACAGTTCAAGCCATTGAGGCAGACACCCTGTCTACATTTAAGGCTAAGCTTAAAACATCCTTTTTGATAAAGCTTATAGGTAGAGTGGCTCAGGTTATCCTGAGCTATCTCTATAGTTATGCTGCTATAGGCTTAGAATGCTGGAGGACATAGGGACCCCTTCTCATCATTCTGCTTCACTCAATCTCTACTATTCCATTCTGCAGTATTTGCTAGTTTCATCTCTAACGTTCTGCTCTCTCTGATTTTTCTCATAGCAGCTTCATCTGGTCTGTTCCTCTTTGGCTGTGACACCATCCTGGAGAGAAATATCAGCTGTGCTGCTGCCATCAACACATTTGTTTATAGATGTTGGAGATCGGCCTGTTTTTTGGTTTCTCTGACTGTGACTAACTGGATGCGCTCTCTTCATCCTCTGACATGGGAGCTGGCTCGCAGCTCGTCTGACTGGCTGTGCTTTTCCTGGACAGGGGGCGCCTGTGGAGCTGTTTGACAGTTGACTTTTGCATCTCTGCTTCTTTTTCTATGTCGGCTTCTGTCTCCTTGAACCCCAGTCGGCCTCGGCCTATGGCCGCTCACACCGAGTCTGGTTTTGCTGGAGGTTTCTTCCTGTTAAAATGGAGTTTTTCCTCTCCACTGTCGCTACAAGCATGCTTAGTGTGAGGGATTGCCGTTGAGTCAATGATGCAATCAACTGGCTTTGCTTAGATAGAAAACTTTGAATCAATTTCATTGTATGATCTGGTTGGATTATCTTTGTAAATCTCCTTGAGTTGACATGTGTGGCGCTATATAAGTAAAGTAAATTGAATTTAAAACTAGTACAAACAAAAATGATTAAGGGACAGTTACTGTAAAATGTACCTATTACACAGCTCTCTTTCTGGGATTCAGCTATGAAGCTAATTAAACAAATGAAGAATAAAAATGAGTAAAGAGCTAAAAGTACTATGAATAGCTACTTCATGGCTAATGAGCGCCACCAGTAGAAAAAACAAAACAAACTCGCTAACATCTTTAGAACTGTTCTGCTAAGCCAATATTTTCCATTATTATTAATGCCTTTAGCTCTATTAGGCAGACATTAAATTGATATAAATCTTTTAATCTAACTCTCAGCAAGTAAGGAACAAATCTTGTCTTCTAATGACCATCTTCAAAGACTTCTAATGAGTCCTCAGTGGATAAAGAATGTCATTATTACACTAAAAAGACACTATTTGCTTAAAATCCTCAGACCAGACAGACCCTCTTAAAAACATCCTGAAAGCAGCTGTTACTGATTAGTGTTTCATAATGTTTGACTCTCTTTCCTTATCTCTCGTGAGACTTTGTATATAATGTTTGTCTAAAGAGAAACAATGAACATCATTTGCAAATACAACAAAGAGAGAAAAATAAAAGATGGTTTGTAAATAGCAGAGAGAGTTTGGAAAAATGATGTGAGAAGAAAATGGGAAAAAAGAAGCAAAATTAATATATCCTGCCCCACGGTTTGAGTGCACACCACTTTTGGATTTTCCTAAATCAAAACTGATAGGTTGTTGGATTTATCCAGTCATTCTACATCTGCAATGTGGGTTTGTGGTGATGAGATAACCTAAAAGGCGGTTCAGTGAGGTCTTCCTGAAGCTCACTGGGGCGCTGAAGCAGCAGTTGGCTTTGTGCACTTTGTTTACCTCAATAAAAAACAGTCGAGCAGTCATTGAACCTCTTCTTCAGAGCAACCCTGGGTTCAAACGTGGAGACCCTCAGATCCTTACTTAAACATAAAGGAACACTTGGCTGTAGAATGAAACTTTCCAAAAACACTTAAATGTGATGTATGTGGTAAAGGCTAATGTTGACTTCCTCCTTAACGACCATACTCCATGTTAAGCTAACAGTTTTTACAGCGTCCCCCGAGTATGGGTTGCTTTGCACCCCCTTTGCAATAGCGGTGGCTCTGCAGACTAAAAGCTGTCATTAAAATTCGGCCTGTATGGCCTTGGATGGCTTTTGCTGTTCTGCCTCTTCTGTCTGGGGGCCACCTGGCCTCAGGTCCTGCAGGGGAAACCTCAGCATTGCCATCATTGCTGGCTTTGATGGATGGGTCATAGTTGCAAAAAGATGTGTGGTCTTACACACAGTTTGATGTTTTGAAATATTATAGAGAAGTGAGCATTCAAAAGCATTAAAAGAACTGCAAAAACTGTTGAAGGTACTAATGTTCCACTGAGTGTCAAAACAAAAATAGTGAGGAAGTGATTACTTTTATTTGTACAACTCTACACCGCTTTAAGAGCATGAGAAGTTGTAGTTTTGTCACTCTATTAAAAGCAGCATGCTGGGTTTACCGTGTCATGAATGTGAGAAATTAGATGAGCATACAAATGTCCCACTGAGTTTTTTCCCCTGCTATCAGGGTCCAGATCTTTGGATGTGTGCCTCGTGTTGCGGCGTACATGCGTCCGCTTGTATGCGGCGGTGTCCCTGCATCTGGTAGCGTTTACCGAGCCGCAGCTCCTTCAAGCATCATCAGGATGAGTAGACGAGTTGAACGTTGTGAGGTCATCTGCTGCTGTGGATGTCTGTTCAAAAAGAGACTGATTTATGGCTGCTAACGAGCGACAAAGTGGCTTGTGAACCTTTGCAGAGTATGTCTTTGCTTTTAAAGATGTGTGTGAAAGTTTTATTCGCCGTTATAAAACCCGATATGTATGCCTGGCTCCTGACCTCAACTTTAAAGCTGGAGAAAGAAGCGTACAATTTCTTCTGTTCTTAAAGTTTAAGGGGTGATATCAGCACTAACAATGAAGCAGTCAATATCTATTTTAAAAGAAAAAAAAAGGTAACCAACGCAGCAAATGTCATCGACTCGTCTGCTGGGAAAAAAAAAAAAATCACATGCTGCATGTGTTGAGGGGCAAAGTGAGCACATTTGAAGCAATCTGTATTTCATTTATTCAAAACAGATGAATAGATTCAGAGGTACTCAATGCTGATTTTCAGGACACTTGGTGGTTCCTTATGTGCTTTTATTCGTTGTTTCTGATTATGATTTATAGATCTTTGTGAACTATTAAGTAAAAATTCAGTTTCTAACCGAAAAAAAAAAAAGAAAACCCCAAAAGAATATGTGTAAAGAAAAGGTATTTGTACCTTTCATAGTTTGGGAGTTAATAAATAATATAAAATATCCCGAAGAGGTGTCAATAGCCCTTTTCTGTGACGGGACAGTCAAACTGAACCAAAAGTTCCAGCTTAACAGATTTGGGGACTATACATCTTAGTTATTTTGTCTTCATAAAACCAGTCAAACTCAGTCTAACTGGATGCAGATCATCTGTGAGCATACATTTTTAAGTGTCGTCAAAGTTTCTCTTTTGTATTTCGGTCTGAAGTTTGATGAGGCACTGGACAAAGTTTAGAAACAATCCTAAAGCAAAAAGTTTTTTATATATATATTTTTCTTACCTTTTCACAATAATTAAGGTCGGTCTAAAAAATACATCAACAATGAAACTCAATAAAATACATTAAAGTTGTTATGAATGTTATAAAAAAAACAATCTTTGCAAGGCCTTCAATATGAAGAACAGAAACAGAGCAATAATTTTCCATTGATGATAGAAAAGTAATATATTTTCTTTTACTTTTTGCGTAGTTGCAACATACCTACAAGGCAGACAAACAGTCTGTGCATATAAAAGGGCTGGAATTCAAATAAAACTAAGCTGAACTAACAAAAAAACAAAACAAACAAAAAGTATAGGGGTGGTGGTGAGGTTTTGTGGGTCTGAATTAGGAGCTTCTGGTAAAAAACTCTTCATCTCACACCACAAAAAGGATCTGATTACCAAATACAGGATGGAGAGAGTAACAATGAAAAGAAAATAACTGGGAGAAATAAGCCTGATAATTAACCAAAACCTCAACTCACTGTGGAGACAAAAATAAAACAAAATCCATTTCAGTGCATGTTTGACTGTACTGTCCGTTCTAGATGCATGTATGTCTTTCTGTGTGGATGTTCAAACTGATTAATGCGGGAATGCGTGTGCATCCCAGAGAATAAGGGTGAGGGGTGTCTCTGCTGGTTTATGGTGCTATTTGTGGTGCAGACTGGTGATTATCCAGTGGGGTGTAATTGTTGAGGATGCAGCTTGAAAAGCATGGTGTCTGCACATCAGCCAGACATCTTGGCTGGAAACACACATGGTAACGTGTTGTTCACATTAGCCGTTAGCTTGATTTCAGTCATAAAAATGAAGCTGATAAGGCAAATGACGATCCGTTCCTTTCTCCTTTAGCTCTGTGGGCGTTTTTTTTATCCACTTCAGTCTCTCTTCAAACATCCATTGATCCTTTCCAATACCTATAGGCTGCAGCTGTTGGAAACACACCACCACTTCTATGTTTGTACAATTTGCGAAACATGTTTTTTTTTTTTTTCTTTTAACCCAAAGGCTGGAGAAGAACCAAATAGAAGAAGAAAGCATACCAGAGGGCGGTGTGTTTGGGACAGAAAATTACTGACATGTTGTTGGGTGACCGTCTGGCTTTAATCTGTGCGCTGCAGCCTGGAAGCAGGAACAATGGAGGCCTTGGCCGGTTCGTACAGAAAGAGGTCGGCTGTCTGTCTCAGACTGGCACTCTCACATAAACACACTTATAGCTGGCTATGCTGGTCTCTGTGCATATGAATGAAAGGCAGGCGCTATGTGGGGGTGTGTGGACCCCTCTGCGCTGCCCTGTCAGAGTGCCTTACTTTGATTTTTTGACAGCGGGAAGTCTCTTTTCAGAGAGGTTCCTTGGCTGTGATTTATGAGGGGAAGGACGAGTAGAAAAAATATACCTCAGCACACACACACACACATATAGTTGTTGCAGAGTTATGCTTGAGATACTCGCAAACCACACTTCATTAACACTGTTTATCAAATCACTGATGATTCACTGCCAGAGGCCTGCTGCCTGCATTAGTCTGATGAACTCAACATGTGTATTTCACCTGAGTGAGGCATGTGTGTGCAAACATGCACACGTGTCTACACAGCTTCACTGACAGCCGTTAAAGGGAGGATTAGTTTTACCTCAGTAGATTGATACCCAGCTGTTTACGTAAATACTTTTTAGATGTATAAAATAGCTGCATTTAATGGAAGGATAGTCCTAAGAAAGGATGGGCTTTACTTGCCCCCATCTTCAGAATAAAACAATATAGCTGCAGAAATCTAAACTTTTATAACCCTGCAGCGCCTTTACTGAGAAGTAAGGTATTTATTGGCATTCATGGTAGGCAAAGCCAGGAAAATCTGACTGATGGCAGTCTTGAATCTGTGAAAACTAAAGAATAACAGTGGTTTACAGTCTGGTGTAAATACATTGAATTACGATAAATTATGTTATTTATTATTGGTTTGTAGTAAAGGGACAGAAAAAAAAAATAAGAATCATTCTTCTATTTGCTCCTATTTATTCAAACTGTGTTGTAACATATTAATGTCTGCTTTTTTTGTTATTCTAAATAAATGAAATACAATAATATATATATATATATATATATATATATATATATATATATATATATATATAGCACTATAGCAGACAAGTTATAGGGATCCTGCACTGCAACAAGAAAACTTTGCAATATAGCTCTTTTTAAACTACTCTAAATGTTTAACATATTTGGACAATGTTGGGTTGGCAGATTCTCCACTCAGTTTTTATTACATCTCTGTAGTAAATATCTCGCTGTATTATTGTTCTGATATCGTATCGGGTCAATATCAGTATCGCTCAATACCACGAGTCTCAATATCAGTATTATATCGGGAATCACAAAGTTTTATTGAAACATCCTTAATTCTTACAAAATATCCCGTTAAGAAAAAGATAAATTTTTGAATTGACATTTTACAGAATATCTTTCCTCCTACATTATAACTTGTAATTATCAAGAAGCTAAAGATTAAATGCATCTGTTACTTGTTAAATGGTGAACTTTTATTTTTAAAATCCTAAAGGTTGGTTCATGGCATTGAATTAAAATTCAATATGAACAATTGATCTTATAGGAAAAACTTAAAATCTAAATTCAGTTTAATCAAAATGAGAAATAAAGATGCATCATGGAGGTCAATAGGAAGATGATGGAATCCAATCTTTCAATTTGATTAAACAATCAACAATGATTTTAGTGGAACAAATCTGCAGTAGAACAAAGTTCACTGAATTGCTTGATCTGTTGGTGTTGAACAGGGCATGACCTTTTTGTTTTGGGCAACCATTTGAGCAAAATGGTGCAAAAACACACAAAACCCATCTGGCCTGTGTTCCCTGTGTTCCACTGACGTACAGTCCATATATGGTTGGATGGAGTTCACCTTCTTCTTTAGACGAGAACAGATCCCAAAAAACGTTCTCCCAAACTGAAAGAATTATTGTTTTTACATCTCTCTTAAGGGTAGTTCCTATGCTCCACTTATCTGGAACAAACTTCCAGAAAACTGTAAAAGTGCGGAAAGCCTGAGTTCCTTTAAATCAAGACTGAAAACACATTTGTTTAGGATTGCCTTCGACTGTTGTAGTTAAACAGTTCAACTAAAACATCATTAGTTCAACTTTTTTATTTTCTTTAGTCCAACTGTTTTTAATGTTCTTTTTTGTTTCTGCATTTTTGATTTTATTTTTTTCTCCTACTTGCTTTGATTCTGTTTTATTTACCTGTATTTTAATCATGTAAAGCACTTTGCATTGTCTTTGCCTTGCCTTACCTTGCCTAAAAATCTACATAGTTATATGCTGTCCATTTAAACTGTCAGTGAAACTAATCTATTCAGCTTCTTGCACACTGACTCTTATGTTAACTCAATCACAAGATGCCTTTTTACAGGCATCAAACAAACATCTTATAGTGAAATATATAATTTTTTTCGCAAAGACACAACAAAGAGACTGGTAACATTGTGTTCCCTAAATTGGGATATCTTCTCCAGATTAATCACCCATCTGAGCATCGTTATATAAGAGGCATTTCCAAAGAAGACAGTGGCACAGATGCACAGGGTCACAAGCAAAGGGAAAGCAAATGTGCACACATTTATTTGTGCTCTCCGTCCACCTGTGTGCAATTAGCAGCGAGTATTTCCCGTCAGCAGAACTGCGCAGTGCCAGACGGTCTGCATGGGAATCTGCCCCCAGGACCGGCCTCCAGAAACTCCCCCAGTGGGAGACGAACAAAACCCAGAGTGCCACCAGAAGCAACTGGATGCTGAGGACAGACCACAATAACAGGTGACTGCTGATGGTCACCATGACAATCTAAACACTCACAGGCGCTGATCAACAAACCCTGTCTGCTGCCAGAAGAGGATGAGGATTTGATGATGGGTAATCCACAAACCGTTAACAGACGATGGGTTACGCTTTATCAGCTCTCACCCCTAGAGGCCACTATTTATCTGATTAACATTAAAATACAGCTCTTTTTTTCACTACCACTATCGTGGATGCCAACTAGCTACATCATCATCTGTTTGGCTTATTTTGACAGATATCTTTACATCATTATTTCTTCGTGCCTTTAGATTAACAAGTTTTAATTTTCAGCTGATCAAAGCAGCCAAAATCAGGCGTGGAAATGTGTTTTTGTTAGACCTTCTTTTTAGAAATGGGGCAGGATACAAATCATAGAATGTTAATAGATTTTTAAAAATTGTATTAGGAGAAAAAGAAGGAAAGACAATCAAATATACAGTATAGAGGTTAAAGCTCAAAAGAGAAAAAGAAAAAAGAATAGCTGAGCAGAGACAAGGCTGAAGAGTGACAAGGTGAAAGCAAAAAAAAAAAAATCCAAATTACCGGGTATCCATCCCGTCCAGCCTTGCCCTGGTGAGTTTAGACATCAAAGCATGAAGCCATGAGATAAATTGGAACAAAAAAACAGCCGCTGCACACAACATGCTGCATTTACATTAACTCATCATGTCAACATGGGAGCTTTTAGGCCAAAAGGAGACGAATCATATATGATTTGTTTGGTGCATTTTACTGTTTCATACAAAAACTTGCTGCAAATAATGTGATTTGGTTTGCACACTGGATTGATTTAATCATGTGAAACTGATCCAGGACAGCATTAAATGCCCATGTTGGGGGCTATACTGCACCCTGAGCTGTGTCGCATTCCAACCACAAGCTTTAGACATTGTTTTAATCATGACTTTCATCAGTTGGAGCTTTCCATGACAGAAAATGTTTGTATGAACCAAAAAAGGTTACCAAACTAGTGGCAATTATGGCACTTGCTTGGTGATTCAAATGCTGTATGTTTATATAAGTAGTTAAAAATAATTTCTTTAAATGTCCTACATGTGCTACTTAGTGTTAGCCAGCACATAAAATTCAACAAAACACATTAAAATATGACTGAATATTAATGCGACACAATATGGAAAAGTTTAAGGAGTGTGAATATTTCTTTTTTTCATCTATTTTTGTATGTTTTGCTTCACTGAATGACTTTGCCTGTTTCTCTGTGCTTTATTATATAGAATATTTATGACGCTCTGGCAGGTCGTTACTCCGCACATCTTCAATCAAGTTTATGAGATGGATGCTTTGTACGTGTGTGGTAAAAAAATAAAACCTGTCGACTTCACGGGCATTTGGTGCAAAAGCATTTGCACAGACAGCTTTCCCCAAATCATCCCCAAGATTTAAGTAACGTCAGCCAGGCCAGTTTGTAGTTTTCCCATGTTTCGTGGTGGGTTGTAAAGCCAATAACCGCTTCTGCACATCTGATCTGTGCCACATGTGAGCATGAAAATAAAGAATAAAGCTTAAAATTCCTCAAGGCCAGATCATAACATATTCAATGCAGAAGCAAAAGCATTAAAAAAATAAAAAAAAAGTGTGAACATAACGTTTTTGTGTTTATCTATGTATCTATAACATTTCTGGTTATAACCATCACCATACTCATACAAAAAAACACACAGCCAGGAGTAATCACACACTTCTGTAGGTGGTCTTTGTATTCAGGTTTTACTGCTGTGGGAGAGAGGCAGATTTTTTGGTTTGACCTGCAGTTTGTCCAGCGGTGAGCAGGGAACAGCCGACGAGGACGTGTGTGATGTATGTGCACAGCTAGGGTCAAAACCTCTAAAATCAATTCAATACTACCTGGATGAGATGAAAGCGTACTTACAGGAAGCCCTGCAACAGAGAAGAGAAATGAGGGAGAGGGATCAGAAAATCAGCGTTTACATCTTTTCTGACAGATGAGGCAAGGCATGTGTGACAAGAAGCAACCTCAGCTTTGAACGCCGATCACTTCCTTCGAGGAGTACCACAACAAAAAACCCTGTTCATGTCATGTGGCTGGTTAGATAATGACTGTAATTAACCCCCTGAACATGGCAGGAGAAGACGGCTCATTAGAGCTACTGCCAGTGGAGTTTGTGGCAAAGCCGTTATAATAAACAGGCTTCTGGTTGAGCTGTGTTTTAGATTAGGAATATAAAGTCATGTCAAGGCTTTGTTCCTCAGGAAGATGTGGGAGCATAAGGATGGAGGACAAGCAGTGAGTGAAAAGGTCATGCTGGCAAGGCATGCTTCCCTTTTAGAGCACAAACTGGATGTCTCTGACATTCCTCCAGGGTTGGCTTTCACATGTGATTGAAGCTCTTTAATGTTGAGCATCAGCAGCGAAAACATAGATTCTGTTTTTCATAGTTTGTTTAACCAAAAGAAACAGTAATGATCAAAGATTTTCTCCTTTCTAAATGAATCTAAGAAATAGAAGAAGCCAAGGCCCCTAATAAACTACATAAACATATTTAAAGTGAAAATATTATTATGCAAATGAGGTATTGTTTTCTTAGATATAGAAAGGTGCTGATTCATTTGGCAGTGACAGCATTTTTGAACCTGTTAGGGTGTAAATATCAACATATATCTTGAAACATTCAGAGCAGGAAGATGGTGAAATAGTTTTTCATAACAATTTAAAGACACTTTAGCATACCATACCATACTGAATTTATTATAAAGCACTTTCAACACCTTGAAATTGCATGTGTTGTGTAATTTTGGTGCTATAGAATTTGGCGCTATAGAAATAAATCGCACTGAATTTAATTGTTTGATTATAGCGCTTGTTCTGCCCAGCTTTTTAGTTCATTCATTTGGTTAAATTATACATTGCTGTTGTTGTAACCCTCTTTTCTACTTTTAGAATATAGACTGAACAGAACGCAGTGGGTCCTCAAAGCATAGAATATTGATGATATCCTAATGTTGCTTTAAACCTCCTTACAGCTAAACATCTATGTTTCATGTTCAGTAGCCTGTAAGGCTATGGCAAGCCAGTTTAACATTAATTCGGTTATAACACCTTTACATTCAAGGTATCTCAAATTGTTATATGACTAGGCGTTTTAGCGAGTTAGAGATATCTCTAATTATATTTTGACTAGTCGAAATGACGTCAGATTTACCATTAACTTGTATGTAGACAACAATTTAAGATATCTAGAAGGAATTACTGAATATCTGAAATACACATTTCAGATATCTACAATTAAATTACGACTAGTCATAAAGAAATTTCAAGATATCTCGATTTTAGTTTTGACTAGTCATAATTCTAATTAAAGATATCTCAAATGCCACCATAATTCAAGATATCTTAAATGTATTTTAGGATAGGAGATATGTAGTTTTGACTAGTGAAAACTAAATTATAGATATCTTAAAAGCAAATGATGACTAGAAAAAACAAATGTAAAGATATCTTGAATTGTAATTTTGACTATTCGAAATTCCTTTTAAGGTATCTCTAAATTAATTAAAGATATCTTGAATTATTATTCTTCCTAATCAGAATCTAAATACAGATATCTTAAATAACCATTCGGGATAGTCAAGATGTGGTTTTGTCTAGTCAAATGTATTTGAAGATATCTGTAACGTAATTGTGGATGGTCAGATGAAACCGAATTTATGTTAAAAAGGCTTGCCATACTATGACAGTTTGTTCATTAATGGTCAGTAAGAAATATTTCACAACAAAATGTATCATTTAGAAGTAAACACTACTTTGCGTTCATCGATTACATAAAAAGTCAAATAAAAAGCATTAAAGTTCTCAAGTTATACTGTGATAAAACTTGAAAAAGTTGCAAGGCACTGTAGCTGTGTCTAGACGGTTTGAGAAAGACCTCTTGAGTCAGACAGCAAGGTAAACATACACACACACTCTGGTTAAAGAGCCACACAGTTAGAGCGGCTTTGGGCACAGGGCGGGAGACAGGTGTGTGTTTGTGTGTGTAGAGTAAAAACAAAGAAGAAAGAGAAAGAGAAGTATGTTAAACAAGAGCAAAAAGGATCAGGGAGAGCAGGAGCAGGACACCAGATGACAAGCACAGTTTTAAGATGCTTGACTAATCTGTCTGAACTCTTTCCTGTTTTTCAAGTTGCAGTTTTCTGTTTCTCTTCTGCACTCTCGTTTGTTTTCATTTTTACTTTCTGACAGAAAAACATTCTGGTCTTGTATAAAAAGTTGTTTAGCTGCCTTTGGAGAGAGAGAGGATGGTGAAACAGCCTCTCTGTGGGAACAACCCACACACTTCTACTGGCTGTAAAAAACACAGAAATACAAGACAGAACCTAAACAAAAACCACACACAGATCTTGCAGAAACAGACCAGCCTTTGACTACATATACTAAATCCTGCTGTAAAACACCAAGCAGATGGCAGGCGCTTGATTTAGTAATAAACTAAGATGATTAAGATATCATCTGACAATAAACAATAAATTAAAGTTTAGGAAAAGTCTGGTGACGTCCTGTATGTTTCGTGCCAGCAGTTTCAACAAACGCGGACCTGAATCATTCTCAGAGAAACGTTAATCCTACTTTAAATACCCACTGCTACTCCAGAACCATGACATTGTTTTAGAAGGCATTACCAAAAATAACCGCATCCAACTGTTTCGAGAAAAAAGACAAACTTTTGTGTATCTGTATTTAAAAAGGAAAGTTTTCTATTGTGATTAGCTAATGAGATGAACAATTTACAGGAAAATAACTAAAAAACAACAAGCTATGGAGCTTATAGTACAATGCAACACTTTCGAGTCATAACTTATTTCTTTTAAATTTCCCCCAGGTTTTTGGAAGCTTTCTAAAAAAAATTTCACTGTGGTTCACATTGAAAAAACAAACAATTTTAGCAAAAAAAACAACATGATTTTTAAAAGGATATTTAAGAAAAAATTAAACTTTGGCTGATAATCAAGTGAAGGAGCAAACTTTGACTGCAAACTGGTATCAAACTTTAAAACAGCAGTTTGCAGCTTCAGAAACAGATCACACCGTTCTTACATTTTAAAGCAACTCCATTTTTATTTTATTTTTTTGCAATATGGTGAAACTATTACATACAGAATAAAGTTATTACATATATTATAAATCAACTTATTGACTAACTGATTTTGAGAACCCTCTAAAGGGGTTAATGGTTGTCACCAGCTCTGTTGCATAGCAACCTTGACTGTTGACACACAAGGCAGGTAAAGAAAGACTTTTGAAACTGTTTATTTTTTATTTATTTTCTTTTTTTTCATTGTAAAGTGAACAAAGACTACACTGAACAAATAAAAGCAAATGTAATGATATAAACCTTAGTCAGTTAAATGACATGCTGCTGTCATTTGCACATCTCAAAAGTTGCTGCAATTTTTTTAATATCCATTACTGTAAAGATGTTCATTGCTGTATATTGGTTGCACTGTTTTTTATATAGTTAAAAGACTTTACAGTACAGTATATTATGGTTTATGTTTTAACTCTTAATTATTGTGTTATTCTTATACATTTTTCTAAGGTCCACATTTGTGTGACCATTTTTTTCAATAATCTTTTTTGCTGCTGTAAACACCAGAATTTCCCCATTGTGTGACAATAAAGGGATTTTATTTTCTATTCTATAAATGGGGTCGAAAGATATAAGTAAATCTAAACAATGTATGTATAAAAATTATATACCCGAAAATCTCTTATATTCAACAACAATAAATACTTAGTTTAAGCAAATTGTGTAAAGTAGCCAAAATGTTATAATTTTCAACCAATCAGATGACTGAATGATCAAAATACTTGAATTAAAATCAATACATGTATGTCTTGTGCTCATTCAAACATGTATTCAATAACTGAGGAGAAAATGTGTTTTTAATCGAAAAGGTATTTAGTCAATATATGTTTTTTGATTAAAATGTAATTAATTGCGATCAGTCAATTACAGGCCTTCAAATCAACTCTTTCTTCCCACTACTAATTTAAATTAGAAAAGGTTAGATACATTATTAAAATAAGTATCACTCCAGACACACAAACAAAAGAAAAGTGCGACAGCAAATCGCTGCAATAACAGACAATAGACAGAAACAAAAGGAAAAATCCTGCAAATACCAAAAGCACAACTTCAGTAAAAAAAGCCGCAAGCTTGCTCTATGAAACAGAAGTTGACCAGACCACCAAGTCAGATGATATCTCTGTTCTATATTAATGTTAAACATTACAGCCACTTAAAAACAAACAAACATTTTCTTTCCTCTAAGCTTCCCATTAATGTATTTACTGAGGGTCTGCTCTCTTATGACTTGGCAGTCAACTTCTCCAAGCAGTCTGGTGAGCTGCTGCTTTTTGGAGCGAGGTCACAGCTTTCTTTATTTTGCTGGTTGTAGGTTTTTGCTTTTCTCTTTTGCAGTATTTTTTATGTTTTTGACATTTTGAGCCGTTTGTTTCCACTTTACATCTATCATTCACCATTGTTTCCCTTCACATCACTTCCAAAATTCCATCAACTGCTGTAGATTTCAACATATGACTCCATACAACATGCTGCTTCATTCAAGATAAAGGACTCAGTAATTTGATGTACTTCCAAGGAGAGATCAGGTGAGGAGTACAGCAATATTTGCATAATTTTAGAAATCACCTTGCTGTGCTTAGCCTCTTGAAAAGGGTTATCATAAATCAACACACTATGAAGAGACAATCCTCTTAGTGTTTTGATTATTTTATCTATTGCCGGAATGGATTCTGGCTGGAGTGCAGCAGGTAAGATGCTTCGGATCCCAAAGGTTTGAATTTTAATAATAAATCAATGTCTGGATGCTGTGCCTTGGTCCCCCTCTCTCATACTTATAGTCATCGTCTTCCACTTATATGGGACCAGGTCACGGGGGTAACAGCCTTAGAAGAGACTCCCAGACTTCCTCCCTCTCTCCATTCATCTCCTTTAGCTCCTCTTGGAGTAGCCCAAGCTGCTCCCGCACAGGCCAAGAGACATAGTCCAGCGTGTCCTGGGCCGTCCCCTATTCCCCTTCCTAGTGGGACATGCCTGGAACCGCTCCTGATGGGGGCATCCCTAAAAGATGCCCGACCCAGATCAGCTGGCTCCCCTTCATGTGGAGGAGAATCAGCTCCGCTCTGAGCCTCTACTGGATAACCAAACTCCTCCCCTTATCTCTAAGTACAAAGCCACCCTATGGAGAAAGCTAATTTCAGCTGCTTATATCCGAGATCTCTTTAATCAGATTTTATGACCATAGATGAGAGTACGAACATAGACTAACTAGTAAATTGAGAGCTTTGTCTTTTTGCTCAGCACCCTCTTCACCGCAACAGATTTGTGCAGCATCAGCATTAAAAGCAGCAGCTGCACTGATCTGTCCATCAATCTTATTATTCCCTCACTTGTGAACAGGATCCCAAAATACAACAATTTCACTTGAGTCAGGAACTCTCCTCCAACCTGCAGGGGACAAGCCACCTTTTTCCGGTTGAGAACCATGGCCTTAGACTCGAAGAAGCAGATCTTATTCCTTGCTGCACTTGGCTGTGAATTGCCACAGTGCATGCTGTAGCTCTTGGAAGGAGAAAGCCAACAGAACCACATCATCAGCAAAAAGCAGCTGGTAGATCTGCCTGTCCCCAAACAAGAACACTTCTAGCCATTGGCAGGGAGTGGTGGCAGAGGGCAGCCCTGGCAGAGTCAGCCACTAGAATGAGGTCCAACCGTATGCCAACAATAGAGACCAAACCCTTGCTCTGCTTGTAGGGCCTCTGACTCCATATTCCAGGAACACCCCACACAGTGAATCATGAGGGACCCAGTCACAGAACACATGTGGACCAGTTGAGCAAACTCCAAAGAACCCTCGAGCAACCTAAAGAGGGTGTAGAGCTGGTCCACTTTTCCACGGCCAGGAAGGAAAACACACTGTTCCTCCTGAAGCCGGGATTCAACAATCAGCCGAACTTTCATCTTCAGAACCCTGGAATAGACTTTCCCAGGGAGGCTGAGAAGTGTAATGTAATTTCTCTTTTGTTGGAACACACCCTCTGGTCCGTCTTTAACAACCAACCAGGTCAGGGCTACTGTCCCCGACTGCCACCTAATGTTAAAGAGGCGTCCACCGTCACACAATGTCCTCAGTCCAGGTCAGCAGCAAAATCAAGCCATGATAAATTATATTAAATTATAACCTGCAGATCAGAAAACATTAGAAAAACACAATTGGAAACATTTAAAAACATGAATAAAGATTATAGAAACCATCGTTTAACTGGTCCCTGCACCAAAGCCTGGCATTGGACAGTCCATCTATGTGTAATGGTTTTTGTTTGCTCTCTTTAATCAAACAAACATTTTTTTTATGATGAACCTAATGGAGACCACAAGTTTTCCTGCATTTCTTGAGCTTTCCTCTGATCAGGAACAGGTGTAAGTGACTTTCAAAAGCCCTTCTTTAAAAGATTTTTTAAAAATTGGCCATCAGTCTGTTGTTAAAACTTTATCAAAAAGACTGAAAATTATTACTTAACCCTGTCGTAAGGACAGATCTCATATATTACACAACCACAACAGTGAATCATTATCCAGAATACTCCCTATCTGACTCCACAGCTTCATCACTGATCAAAATAATATAAACTAATTCTGTTTTCAGAATCTCTACTTCCTCAGAATGACTCAAACTTGTAGAACATCTGTGACAGTGACCTTTCTTTTGGCAAGAGTCACCACCCTGCTTCTACAGTGAGCATTTAGCGGTTTGGACAGAAATGATAACGTCGAGCAGCGATGTTGGCAAAGGAGACTCATTAGGGTCGATATGCTGCAGCTGCTACCGCTCAGCAACATGGAGCGACATCTGGGCAAAGTTACCACAGCCACATGGTGGAAATTAACACAACACTGGCTCATGATAGGTTGCAATGAGAACAAGCAGCCCACCATCCTGCGACCTGACTCACGGATCACTGCCTTTACCAGCCCTTGGCTCAAGCTCCTCAGCTCACCCAGAAAAAGAAAAAAGGTTAAAAGGGAAAAGAGGAAAGGAGTGTGGAAAAAGAGAAAAGGAGGAGAAATAAAGAAATTAAATGGATGATGGGTTTTACTAACCAGGTTCGCCTTTCTTTCCAATCCGTCCACGTTTTCCTGGAGGCCCTGCAGAGACACACAGGGAGAGGAATTACTCTCTTAAAAATTTCCCATCAGGGACAAGAAAAAAGCATTTCAAGAATTAATTAGTTTGGCTTTAGTGATTCCAGAACATATGAAAACAACTTTTAAAGTGAAGTGCTGAATTTACAACATCAGTTTTATTATAAAAAACTTTCCCACGCTGGAGCACAGCCCGTTGCTTCCCTTTAACCCTCGCATGATACAACTCAAAACTGTGCCTTCCTGCTAAAAAGATTTCTGTTGCTGATGGAGGAGGGAAGCAGTGATAAATAGCAGGAGTACTGCAGAGGGACTGAGAAATAAATGATTTACCCCCCGAGCCAACGTCAATCTCAGACCACATGCTGCTGCCGACCATGAATCACCTCTAAACAGACGCTGATGTGCATCAAATTCTACCTTGTTACAATGCAGTCTATGTTATTTAAGGCGAATTCACTTGGAGACAGTTTTGTGAGAACTGTACAGTAGCAAGTCAAAGAATTGCAGCATGTGGAGGGGCTGCAGAAAAAAAAAAGGTTGCACAGGCAAAGAATGAGCTAAACAATGTATTTTCTCTGGCAAAGTGAGTCACAGCAGTGAAGCTGACAGCTTCACCCTGTCTGGCAGAACATAATTAGTCAAGCAAATCTGCGTCTGGTTACCTTGGGAAAAAATCTGCTTCTAATAGATAAAACAGCATCCTAAAAACTAATGATAACACTGATGGAGGGCTTTAATAGCATCTTACTGTTTTTTTTTTTAATAAATGGTTACTCTAAAATTTTTTACGGTAAATAAAAGGAATCTCTGTGAAGATTTCATTAGCTTTAAAACAGATTTATTTGACCAATAATGCAGCTAGTCATGCTCACTAACAGGCAGCATGCGGCTGAATTAACACTGACCCCCGTGCTTACACAGGTGGATGCAAAAGCTGGGCTTTATTCCTGAGTATACAGCATTAAAAAGGGCTTATTTCTAAAAGCTTAGGAATTTTAATGATCTTGATCTGGAAATATTGTCAGCCTAAATAATCATTAAACCAATGCATATGCAGTCATTTTAGTTCATATAACTGTTTTTTCTTGAATTTAAATTACATCTCTTAGCACTAAATCTTTCTAAACAGCACTGCCATTATATAGCAGCCCTTTAAAGTGAAAGTTAACCATTTTAAATCTACTAATTCCTTTTCAGTATTCCATAGGCATTTAAAAACCTAAACAAGAGAGAACAATATAGACATTTATCCCATGATCAAAAAATAGTGGCTAAATTAAAAACACTATTTTATGCTTCCATTCTGAACCAATAAAAAACATTTCATAACCATGTATTTTGTCTTTGTGCAACATACAGATGTTTCTTTTGGTTTTAGTTATGTGTAGGCATGGGCCAGTTACAGGTTTCAAGATATACCATTCTTCCAATATACATTGTTTTTTAAAGAAATATCACCTGAGAATGCTCAGATTGTAAACTCCTGCAGCATCACTACCGCTCCCCCTGTAATCCCCTATAGTAGCTAGATCTACACATTCAGGTTACATGATGTAGGAGGGAGGAACACCCAAACGTTTCCATGCTTTGGCCATTTCAGCCTGAAGACTGATTATGTCTTCAGAACTGCCTTAATCCTTGCTGTTATATATTCAAAAGGGTACTGGAAACATTCATCAGAGACTTTAGCCTTATTAATGTGTTGGCATCACATAGATAATGCAGATTTGTCGGCTGCACATCCATGATTCCAATCTCCCTTTTCATCACATCCCAAAGGTGCTCTGTTGGAATGAGATCTGGTGTTTGTAGAAACCTTTAATTATAGCAAACTCATTGCTGTCAAGCAGTCTGAGATGTTTTTTGTTAATGACATGGTGTATTATCCTGCTGGAAAGTCATCAGATGATGGATACACTTTGATCACATTGTCAGTAACAATACTCCGTAGGTTTTGGCATAACACAAGTGTGGCAAGAAAATATCCCTCACACCATTACACCACCATTAAAAGCATGCTTTCGTGTTGTTTAATGGTTTCATAATTAGAGAAAAGCAGACATGATGGAAAAGTTGACTGAAGAGTTAGGAAATGTTTGATAAAACACTGACTTACCACAGTGCATGCACAGATGCACCACCTATGATGACATACCTGATTCAAGAGTGCTAAAAAAGAAATCACCTATTCAATAATGCCTTTGGTTGAACCTTGGTTTTTTTTATTTATTTTTGCTTATATGTTAGTATTGAATTTTTTTCATTATAAAAATGCCACATACAAAAAAATCACAAAAACACTAAATAAAGATTTTAGCATAAACATTGCAATAGTTAAAAAACTTAATCTTTAACGTAAAGTGATGGATTTTTATCTGTTCCACAATCTTTGCTTTTGTTTTACACTCTATCATAGATATTTTGACATGATTTTTATTTCCATGTTTACTATTCAATGTTTACATGTCAGAATTTTATTGCCTTTTAAAATGTCATTGTTGATGTTCTGCTTCCCTCTCTAAACATTTGCCTTCCCTCAGTTCATTATCTGCTGCAATTGTTTGATATGTCAAACTTTTTTTTTTATTGACCATTTCTGTTTTCTTTTATGCTGTTCCCTTTGTTTTCGTCATGGATGAAGGCAGAGAAAATTAGAATTACTTTGGTTTTACTTTTTGGATCCTGTTATATTGACTTTTTTTAAATCAGTGTTTGTCCACAAATGTCTGCTACTTTGATTCAGTGGCTAAGAATAACTAATAAAATCAATCATCAAAACAGTCTTCGGGGAGTCCATGACATCAACAAGAACTGCTGCAAAGTTAGAGACTTTTTCTGAATTGTTGGAAGGTTTGCTGATAGAAAAAGCACCAATCGCTCTGGAGTTTCTGAAAACACAAACTCCAGAGTCAGAAGGCTAACCCATTCCACCCCATCTGCTGCAGGCAGACAAGCCCTGATGGACTTCTTGATAGCAAGACAAAGTGAGTACCCTTCCCTTGCTACAAAAGCTGCATACTTACAGTTTCCTTTTACAAAATCCTATATATGTGAGAAAGGCTCTCGCCTTGACCAAATGTGAACTCAGAAGCAGCCTAGATGCAGAAGATGGACTTAGACTGAAGCTGTTCTTAAATGATCCAGGCATTACATAACAATGCTAACAAATCAAAGCCCTTTCATTAGCTAACCTGTGAATGAAAGTATTTGCCAACATTATTTATATGATGGTTGAACTGAACTACTATCGTCCCTACAGTAGTTACTGACTACTGTTTTGTTTTCTAATTGTGGTGCAGTTCATATTAACTACTGTTGCTGATATTCTTTTTGCTGAATCATTTTCTACAGATTGGGTCAGATTATTAGTGCAGTGCATTCGTATCAGTTATGTGTTACGTGTTTTTTTTTGTAAAACCATTTGTACTTTTTGGGTGTAATATACTGCAAATTACAGTATGTGTAGGTGTGGAGGTAAAAACAATGAACATTTAAACTTTACATAGTAGGCTGTTGTGTCTCTATTGCCTTATATTACATATGTGTTCAGATAACAAAGGTTTGAGAACCCCTGTAACAAACTATGGGAACAGAAAAGCAGGAGGAATACCATGAGAGAATATATTGGACTCATCCAACACATTCCCACCATCTTCTTCCACCTCTGCATACAGACTCCATCCATCCATTTTTTTTTTACACGCTTAATCTGCTGCTGGTGCCTATCTCCAGGTGTCAATGGGCGAGAGGAGGGATACATGTTGGACAGGTTGCCAATCCATCACAGGGTGACACAGAGACAAACAATGATGCACACACTTGCACCTAAGGACAATTTAGAGAAGCCAATTAACCTAACAGTCATGTTTTTGGACTGATGGAGGAAGCTGGAGTACCCGGATAGAACCCATGCATGCTCAGGGAGAACATGCAGACCCTAGGCCGGGAATCGAACCCAGAACCTTCTTGCTACAAGGCAGCAGTGCTACTCACTGCGCCTGTACAGTTATTTTAAAGTGGTCTTTGATATAAAGTGGTTATGTCAACTTTGGGTCCAAGAGGCACATTTGCCTCTCTATCGACATCGGAACACTTAAATCTTTTTCTACGTTCGTAAAAAAAAAAAAAAAAATGGAAACCATACTGAGTTTCTGATGCTAAGTGCTTGTGGCTGGAGACGTTTTCTCTGTTTTCATTATTGGCATTATTGTAGCAGCATAATCATTTCCTGACTCAGCCTGCTATTTCAAAGAGCTTGCTTATTCTCTTCCTCAACCTCCTCTTTGCATCCATCTCTCCCACTTCAATCCTTCCTTACTTCCTTTACGCAACATCAACAACCTATAAATACTTTTGGAGCCAAAGGATTAAGGAAGTGGCGGAGGAACGGCTAAAGTAAACTGAGGATGATGATTGGCCCAGGCTGAAACTTTTCTCCAATCCTTAGCTTTGACCTTTGTTTTTATTCTTTTAAATCTGTTAGAGCTCAAGCTTTATTCTGTACTGCCACACAAATACAGTGTAAATAGTTTCTTTTGTAGCAGATGTTTGGTTGTAGGGAGAGAGAATGTAATTAAATATTAGAAATGGACAATTCCAGAAATAGAAGAACAGGAAATCATGTTTAAAGATGCAATACTATTTTAATTGTAAATGCATGGCATTTAAAGGGGTAAGAATCGGCAGGTACATGCATCAAAGCATTTAGGTCTGCAGGGTACACCCTCGCTACACCTCAACTTGAGACTAACGGCAGCGGTCTGCAAGCCGACAAGTTTGTAGCCAACTTCTGGAAGAGCAGGCGTCAGATTGACCAAAATGTGGGAGTGTGATCGGTCCTGAGTGGCAGATTTGAGGCCAAATGAAGGTGGGTGATGACAAGCTGATGGAGAACTGGATCGGTTTGGGGAAATAATGGGAAAAACAGCTGAGCAACAGTAATTGCCAGCGTAGTTCAAATTCCTGTTCCAGAGAAATGCGATAAATGCTGAAATAAGGAG